GGCTGGTTCAGCTTCTGATGGTTCCCATCCCATTATTTGGGATAGGAAAAGTGAGTAGAACCCCACACATTGTGCTTTGTCTTAGTATCCTCTGGTGCATCACTTTATTTTTTTCTTATGTAACTGAATGGCTGCCATTCACTCCCATGGGAAAATAAAGAAATCACTACCCATGCGGACATTGCACCTCTCTTAATATACAGTGGTACCTCGGGTTACATACGCTTCAGGTTACATACGCTTCAGGTTACAGACTCCGCTAACTGGCGGGAAGGTAAATGGCGTTTCCATGTGCTGCTCTGGTTCGCCAGAAGTGACTTAGTCATGCTGGCCACATGACGCAGAAGCTGTACACCGGCTCCCTCGGCCAATAAGGCGAGATGAGCGCTGCAACCCCAGAGTCGGCCACGACTGGACCTAATGGTCAGGGGTCCCTTTACCTTTACCTTTTAACCCAGAAATAGTACCTCGGGTTAAGAACTTTGCTTCAGGATGAGAACAGAAATCGTGCAACGGCGGCGCAGCAGTGGCAGGAGGTCCCATTAGCTAAAATGGTGCTTCAGGTTAAGAACAGTTTCAGGTTACTGGTAATAACAGTGGAAGAACCGCCGGAAAGTTCAAAAGTTGTTTTGGAGGAAGTTGAACAATTTGGTCAAGTGGCAGGGTTTATATTGAATAAGAAAAAAACTAAAATGTTAGCAAAAAATATGGATCATGGTATGATAGAAACAATGCAACAACAAACAGGGATAGAAGTGGTGAAAAAAGTTAAATACCTGGGAATCTGGTTAACCCCCAAGAGTATTGATTTGTTTCAGAATAATTATGTGCCAGTGTGGAAGGGAATAAAGAAAGATCTAGAGGTGTGGGGCCGAATGAAGTTATCCTTTTGGGGGAGAATTTCAACGATTAAGATGAGTGTGCTGCCAAAGATGTTATTCTTATTTCAGACAATTCCAATAATTAAGGGGACAGAGATATTTAAAGAGTGGCAAAGAGCAATTTCAAGACATATCTGGCAGGGTAAGAAGCCAAGAATTATGTATAAGTTATTAACGGATGCGAAAGAAAGAGGCGGCTTCACCCTGCCAGACTTGAAATTATATTATGAAGCTTCATGTCTCTGCTGGCTGAAAGAATGGATAAAGTTAAAAAATACTGAGTTATTGGACTTAGAAGGTTTTGATAACAGATTTGGCTGGCACGCATATCTATGGTGTGAGAAAAGAAAGATTCATAAAGGTTTCGAAAACCACATCTTTAGAAGATCTCTCATAGAAATATGGGAGAGATATAGAAGTTTATTAGAATCAAGAACTCCCCACTGGCTATCTCCGTTAGAACTTATGAGTCTTAAGAAAGTCAATATGAGGGGGAACTGGATTACATATAAAGAATTGATTATAAAGGAAGGAGGAAAATGGAAAATGAAATCCTATGAAGAAGTGAAAGAGTATGTGTATGATTGGTTGCATTATTATCAGGTTAACGAAATGTTTAAAAAGGACTTAAAAGAAAGAGGTTATGAGGTAAAAGAATCGAAATTTCAAATAGAAATAATAAACAATGAAAATAAAATTTTGTCCAAGATGTATAAAATCTTGCTAGAACGGTATACAAAAGATGAGGAAGTTAAATCGGTTATGATACACTGGGCCAGAGATTTGGGTTATAATATACAGTTTAATGATTGGATAAAACTGTGGAATGAAAATATAAAATTTACGGCATGTACTGCGTTAAAGGAAAATGTTATGAAAATGATTTATAGATGGTACATCACACCTGTGAAACTGGCAAAAATGTATAAAACATGTAATAAGTGTTGGAAATGTAAAGAAAAAGAAGGAACATTTTATCATATGTGGTGGGATTCTAAGAAGGTGAAGGGCTTCTGGGAAATGATATATAATGAGATGAAAAAGATGTTGAAATATACGTTTGTTAAGAAACCAGAGGCTTTTCTTCTAGGAATAGTAGGAAATGAAATAAATAGAATGGACTGTAAACTTTTCCAATATGCAGTAACAGCAGCGAGAATATTATTGGCCCAAAAATGGAAACAGGAACAACTGCCGACGCTCGAAGAATGGAGAATGAAACTGATGGAGTATGCTGAACTGGACAAACTAACAGGAAAGATCAGATATATATGAGATCAAAAGTTCATTGAAGACTGGGGAAAATTTTCAGACTATCTGAAATGTGTATGTGATGAGCAAATAACGCTAGTGGGATTTCAAGAAGTTCTGTAAATGATAGAGGACTATTGTATTGATGAAAACTAAGTGTGTGAAGGTTTATAAAATGCAATATAAAATTAGGAAATGCGTATTTAAAAATTTGAATAATGGATGATTGTCAGAGAGGTTGAAGGAAGTCTAAAAGAGAAAATATGTGATAAATTTAGATTGGATACTATAAATGTATGTTGGAAAATTTAATAAATTTTTTTAAAAAAGGAACAGTTTCAGGTTAAGAATGGACATCCGGAACAAATTAAGTACTTAACCTGAGGTACCACTGTAATCATTTTAATCCCCGTCAATGGTTGCTTCTTTAGCTTCTTGAACCATCAATATTGCAGAAAATGAAAGGAAGTGAGTTAATGTAATGGAACTTTTTTTTTTAAGTCATTCAACATGCAACTGATAAGAAATGCTGCAATGAACTGAAATGTTTTCCTCTGCAAGCACCGTTAAAAAAGGAATGGGACCAGAGCTGGAACATGGTTATACTCTCATGCTGTTCCCATACATTTCAGTGAGATGTGTACAGGAGAACTGTTAGATTGTGTCTTCCAGATAATGGGATCTCATGTGGGGAGAGGGTCTCAGCTCAGCAGCAGAACATCTGCTTTGTTCCATGTTCTGTTCCTGACATCTGAAATTCTGGATAGTCGCTACTGGTCAGTGTGGACAAATGCTGAGCTCAATGGATCAAGGGTCTAAAGCTGTATAAGGCAGCTTCCTATGTTAGTAGCAAAGCTAAAGGGTTGTATTCAAAGGCGCCCTTCCTCTGGCAGGAGGCATGACCTCCAATGAAAAAAGTTCTTCTGTCAGCAGCAGGTGTCCACCCATCAGAAGAAGACTTCATCCATCAGAGGAAGCCTTTGCTATCAGTAGTGTCACTGGCAACTTGTACCATTTCCGTTGCTATTGGGATTTGAATCAGATTTCATACTTTTTGTAAAAATTGTAAAGCTCTAACAGCTTCAGTATTCAATATCACAGGGTGATATTATTTTTGGTAATTAATTTGGTAATTTGGAATTAAAAAGGGAAGCAGCCATCCTTGCCCGTGGTTGTGTGTACCCTTATTTTATACATTTCCTCTGCCACTGATAAGTCTGGTCAAGCAGGTTTGGTATGTTTTTGTTGTTCTTCTAAAATCTGCAGAACCTCTTTGACCAGAGACTACGGGGGTACACAAGAAATGAGCATATGTACACGAACAACAATGGCCCTATGATGCCATTTGTCACTGGTGTGTCACTGGAGCACCAACCTTTTTTGAGCAGAGTTGTAAAGTCTAGCAGGGGTGTGAAGTTGAATAAAATACAGTGGTACCTCGGGTTAAGTACTTAATTCGTTCCGGAGGTCTGTTGTTAACCTGAAACTGTTCTTAACCTGAAGCACCACTTTAGCTAATGGGGCCTCCTGCTGCTGCCGCGCTGCGGGAGCATGATTTCTGTTCTCATCCTGAAGCAAAGTTCTTAACCTGAAGCACTATTTCTGGGTTAGCGGATACTGTAACCTGAAGCGTATGTAACCTGAGGTGCCACTGTATTGGCGGGGGCAGGTAAGCGCCTCCCCAGATAATCAATCACATGACACAGTGCACACACACCATTTGAATGGCAATGCCCATCAACTTGGGGGGGGGGACAGCCCCCTCAAATATTTTATTGGGGGACCCCTCGGCCCCTAGGTGTTGGCTCCTGTGCAGTCTAGTTTTATAAATGGGTTCTATGATTGTACAATTCTACGAGTAGGGTGCTTACGTCTGGTTTTGCAAATGTTAAGCATAAACGACTCCTCCTTTCTGGTTCCCGGAAAGTTTTTCAAACACAATTTGTGGCATTCCTTTCTGATGGTTTACATATGGTAGCGTGCCAGATCTGCAACACTAATTACGGTATTGAGTCCCGTAGACTTTGGTGCAATTGGATTGCCTTATGCTCAGCAGGACGTCATATGGTGTTGCTTGTTCCCCACTGCCCTGTAATCCTTCACTGTGTTATGGTATGTTGTCCCATGGATGCCACCCACCCACCCCTCCCTCCCTCCCTCCCCCCTCCCTCCCTCCTTGAACTGGCAAGATGCAGGCAAAGGTCAAAACTGCAACTTACTATTAAAAATTCACTGTGGGAACCAAGAGTGGCAGGTGAACTGTGTCAGCTAACAAAGGCTGTGCTGTGCTGGTGTTCCCCTTCGACTCTCCCAAAGGGCCCTGGATATTCCCATTTATTTTTTAAAAAGAGAGGACTCCTCGCCCTTATATTAATAAAGGATTCCTCCTTTTTACAGACTCTTCTGTGAAATAGATTGTGAGCGTTTGCCTTGGGGGAAAAAGTTTTTATTGATCTTTATTTTGTTCCAGGTTTTTAAAAAATCAACAACTGGAGCAGTTGATAACAATGCAATATTTAAGCCTCTTTAAAGATACTAGTCTCCTGCCCGAGTGTCAAAATCTTTTACAGATGTGTGTGTATGTGTATATATAGACCCTCTTTCCTGAAACGGTTCTCCTTTGGACAACAACCAGAAAATCCAGATAACGGTGTCTTTCAAGTGGGGCATGGAAAAAGAACACTTGGTCCTATCAGCCGGGGCTGCCTGCATTCACAGCTTTGAGCCTGGCTGGTGGGTCAAGCATCCATCTGCTGTGCCTTCTGCAGAAATGGAAATGGTGTCCCTCTCCCTTCCTTGCTAAAATGTAGGAGAAAGGGCTTCCAAAAAGGATTGCCACTCAGCAATGAGATTTGGTTTGGAGGAAGGGCAATAGCTGAGTGGTTAAGCATCTGCTTTGCATGCAGAATGTCCCAGATTCAACCCCCAGTACAGTGGTACCTCGGGTTAAGTACTTAATTCGTTCTGGAGGTCCATTCTCAACCTGAAACTGTTCTTAACCTGAAGCACCACTTTAGCTAATGGGGCCTCCTGCTGCTGCTGCGCCACCGGAACACAATTTCTGTTCTCATCCTGAAGCAAAGTTCTTAACCTGAAGCACTATTTCTGGGTTAGCAGAGTCTGTAACCTGAAGCGTATGTAACCCGAGGTACCACTGTATCTCCAGGAAGGGCTTGGAGAGAACCCGTTCTGAAATCTGGTCTAGGTGGACCAGCAGTCTAACTCAGTATAAGACATGTTCCTTTCAAACAGAGGACTATCCTCTGAAAAATAAGGCACTTGGTCACCCTATGCCATACACAAAGAGCCAGTTTCTGTTTTCTGTCTGTCACCTTGGCAACCAAAAAACCTGCTTTTCTGGAATTCCCACTTTAAATGTTAATCAGCCTTGTTGCCAGGTGAAAGAGTGTCAAGTAGGAGTGCTGTCTTCCTTGGTAATTCACATCAACCCTTGATTAGCAGGAGGAATAGAAACCTCTATAATATGAGGCTTCCTGATTAGTTTTTCACAAATCCTTCATTTCGCCATCTTGTAAATTATTGATTGGTCCAGGTCATAGGAGATGGCTGGACACCTCTTCGCCCAATCCTGGTGTTTTGATTTTAAGAGAGAGGAAGGAATGGGAGTGTCTCTTGCCTTCTTCATTCTTCTGGAAACCTACACACACACAGAAAAATCCACAGAAATGGTGGATATGAAGTTGTTTCAGTGTTTTGGGAATATGTGTTCATTGTCATCATGGGCATTTTGAAATGACCTGAACATACAATTGCACACAAGAGAGTAGAGTAGAGTAGAGTAGAGTAGAGTAGAGTAGAGTAGAGTTTGGATTTGATATCCCGCTTTATCACTACCCGAAGGAGTCTCAAAGCGGCTAACATTCTCCTTTCCCTTCCTCCCCCACAACAAACACTCTGTGAGGTGAGTGGGGCTGAGAGACTTCAGAGAAGTGTGACTGGCCCAAGGTCACCCAGCAGCTGCATGTGGAGGAGCGGGGAAGCGAACCCGGTTCCCCAGATTACGAGACTACTGCTCTTAACCCCTACACCACACTGGCTCTACACCACACTGGCAACTTGTCATGGTATAAAATTTGCATTTTAACCAGATTCCTCTTTCTTTTTTAGTTCTATGTGATTCCCATGCTGTTTAACATCTACATGAAACTGCTGAGTTTTGGAGTACATTGTCAGCAATATGCTGACACACAACTCTATACATCTGCAGGTGTAGCAGTGGATGTGCTGGACCATTGTATTGCCCTGGTAAAGGGCTGGATGAGAGCAAATCCAGATAAGACCGAGACACTGTTAGTGGGTGGTTCCCAAAAGGAACTAATTCCAGTTCACGTTCACCCCTTTTCAAATTGAGCTAGTCTGGTTCACGTTCAGTTCACAGCTGTTCAAGTTCATGCAATTGATCCTTGAAAATCTACACACACACACACACACACACACACACACACACACACAACTTACAATCCCACTGTTGGTGAGATAACAAATAACTGGTTGGTGAACCATATTAGAATAGATTTTGAACTTCATGGGAGCCTTATTTAGAAGTGTATTACTTCACAACAGTACATTTTAAACAGTGCAGCCCTACTGAAATATACGCTTAATCTAGTTTTACAACTTTTAAAAATGACAGTTTAACCACACTAAACCCTGTCTGTCCTTGGTTGTCCATCTCCCTGCCCCCTCCACCACAAAGTGGGCTCTTGGAATATTATACTGCCATTAATGAAGGCATTTTAAATGTGTGGGTTTTTGTGTGTGTTTTTTTAATCTACAGGCCTCTCTCTGTATGCCATTCTATTCCTTTGAATTGCATTGCACTAAAGCAAAAGATAGCAGAGACTTGGCTTCTGAATACAAATACAAAGCTGCTTTTCAACAAACATTAAAAAGCAAGCCTAGCTGGGAAAACCCTGAGGATTTCAAGCTTCTGGAAACTTTCGGTGTTTTAAGCAGATAAACACATTTGCTAAACAATAGCCATGTAATGACTCTCAATAACACATGATTGTCTTTTATGTAGAGAACGATTTACAGTCATTAAATATAGGGGATTGAGAGAGAGAGGAAATGAAGAACCTCTGCTGGTTTGAATTAAATGACTTTGGTACAGAGCACCTCTGCTGTTCTGGTTTGGTATGTGGGACTTGCCATCTTCAATGAGACAGGGGTGCTGTTTTTCACGTTATAGGATTGACATTTAATGACTTAGCAGGTTGCTTTTTTTTTGGAATTCATCATGTGTTCATTTGTCAACTGCTTGATATAAATGACAGATGTTTCAATGAAATGGAGCAGTGGAACAAATCTTGTTGAGCAAGGGTATGAGCCAGATGTTTGGAAGACTGGATTGGTGTTGTGTGGAGAGAAACACACACACACATTCACACACACTATTAACTTTGCTTGTGTCTCGTAAGCAAAAGGGAAATATGTTTATCGCAGGAACTTACAATTTCAGGACTTATCTTTTCAGCAGTGACATAAAAATGATGAACTAGCAAGTATTTAAACAGCACTCACACTTTTGCAAACACGTGTGGGTCTACGCTGCGACAATCCTGGCAGCCCTTTACTGTCATCATTTCTGATTAAATCTATAGGTTAAGTTTTATTTTAATTTTTTGGGGGGGGAGGGAGCTGTAATTGCATGTAGCATCCACGGCTATTTTTCACCAGTCACAAATTAAATTGGAAGTCTTTTTGGGGAAAGGGAGTATGAAGAATTTAATAGTTTGGGTTAAAAAACTATTCAGATCTACTTCAACCTTAATGAATTTCCTGTGCTGCTGAAATATCAAATGTTTGCATACCTCTTTTATTTGTGGGAGTACTTTTTTTTACTGAAAGTTTGAAATAAAAGTTTGGAAACTCCAGCTTTACCAAGTGGGGATTTGCCTCCAGAATTTACAAAAAAGAATAATAAATTAAACTGCTTTTTCAAATGATTCATTGCTGCACACACAACACTAACCATTGGTGAGACAAGTTAGTAAAGTCCCATGGAGTTTAACAAGGGCAGCTAATGTAGGCTGTATACTTGGAAATCAGTCTCTTTGAATTCAGTGCAGCTTACTTCTGAGTAGTTATGCATAGGATTTCATGGCAAAGCTGCATTTCTTTAATTGGTATTCATGGGGTAAGAAGTGGTTTCTCCCTGCATATTTATCAAAACATATAAACAGGACACATGAAAATATTTGCCCTTTCCAATTTATAGATCTTTATTAACAGTTCCCCACACTCAAGATATCCATTTGGCTCCATTCCAGGTTCATTGACTTGTGACACTGAAAATCTGCATCCCACCCCCCAAACTAATGCACAGAACTAGCACAAAACTTTGGCATCGGGTTTTTTTGGGGGGGGGGATCCTGAATTTTGGGGTCACAGGTTAATGAAGCCTTATATTCCTGGGCAAGCAGGCTTTCCCCAATATCTGACCCAACCAATTGTTAGGTTTTTACCTCCGTGAATTTTACACTGATGCTTTCTTTACATATCTATATTTCTTTTTGTTAACAGTTTGATATTTTCTGTATGCTTAAGCAGTATATAAATTTGTACGAGTAAATAAATAAAATAGGAATATCCTTTGACGTTTTCAGGGCTTCAACGTAACTGAAAAACATAGCGCTGCACATCCTCTCTCTCTTTATATAAGTTAAACACACCCTACTAAAGACAATGAACAGTAGTCTGATGCTCTTCTACAATGATGAGAGAATATCAGTAATGCAGTACTTAAAGAGTACACAATGCCATTTCCTTTGCAGAGTGGAGGAAATCTAAAAAAAGAAGCAGAAATGCAGTACGGCCCAAAAATCAATCGAAAGACTTTTTCTTTTTTTAAAGAGGTCACAGACTTGAAGACTTCCTGTGGAAGAAACAATAAGCAGGATACGTAAGGGGCCCAATTCAGCTTCGGTCTTGTTATACTGGATTTGACTATCAACCCTAGAGGCAACTGCGTATTTCCATCTGCCTCAGACACAACCATTAAGTTCAGTGTGACCTGGGTGTGCACCACAATGCATGTTTACATCAGTTGCAGATGCAGAGCAACCTTGTTGCATTACAGCAGGAATTTGGGAGCATGTACTCCCCCCCCCATGTTGTTGGACTCTATCAGCATAGTCAGTGGTCAGGGATGATTGGGGGAATGGAGTTCAGCAACATCTGGAAGGCCACAGCTTCCTCACCCCTGGATCAGAGTGCTTGTGTCTTCATTTGTAAATAGCACTTTTGCCATCACCAGCCCACAGAGATTCCAAGCAGAGTTGAAAGTTAGGTATTTGTAGCTTATTTTATTAGCTTTATGCCAAACCACAAAACAGATAAAGCCATTTTATGGTTTACATCTGGGGGAAATAGTAAAACATATGGCTGCGGAGCAAAAGCATGTGCAGCTGTGATATTCTGTAAATACACCAACCCTAGATAGCTGCAGAGATAAAGAACTTGTGGCATGTGCTCTGGGTTTATCCTGCTATCTGTCACTACTCAGAATATTTATGATATCCCGACATTTGTGGCATATGCGTTAATTAACCACTTTTTAAGGAGCAATCTTCGGGGCTTTTTTTCTTCTATGTAGAAGGATAATTCCATAACAGATCCGCACAATGGTTCACAAGCTGGGGATCTCTTAATGTTCCTTCTCTCCCCCTTTCTTATAGATGCATTTAGTGTTGTCAGCTATGGGGTGTTTTATCCCACTGATGTCCTCTGAACTCATTCCTTCTGCGGATTCTGCAGTATCCCCCAAGCTGCACCCACACCAATCTTTTGAAGTTGAAGAAACCCACTCTTTTCTCTCTCTCTGCTGTTCCTTCACCCACACCAATCCTCCAGTGCATTGCCACCTTGCCTGAAGAAAGTTTGAGTGATATAATAATGCTGGAGGAGAGGA